CCTCAAAATGAAGAAAGTAAGTATCGCAAAATCTTAACTCGATTAGAAAACCCACAAACCTTTTGTAGATTGTATGGAGTGATATATGTATTCTGTTGGAGTAAAAAAAAAAAGTAAGAAAATATATTAATGTGTTGATAAACTTTTGAAAGAAGAATAAAACAAATATTTGTGTTTTCTTTCTTTTGGATTTTTTTCGTCTCTTCTCTTGATTTTGTGCGTGTGTGTGCAAAAATGAATTTTTTCTTTTTCCTTTCTGTACATTGTAGTATTGCGTGTGTATTAAATGTGTGTGCATATTTTCTAGAGTGGTACGTGTAGTTTGGTGTTTAGGATAGTTGGGTTGAGGGGAGTGGGATGGATTAATGTAGCGTGGGGTAGACTAGTGGGGGTTAATGGCTAGGTATATATAAATATAAAATAAAATAATGAAAAATATTAACTAATTATTTTTATATTAATATAAATATAAGAAAAGTTAAATGGCTTATTAAAAAATATAATTAAGAAACACTAATTTACTTATTTAATTCAAATAAAAAGAAAAAAATATATATATATATTTTTGTAATTTTCCATTTCTTTTTGAAACAATTAAAAATAAAATTTACCTGACAATGTAATTCTATTCTTTGTTGTTTTCAAATCCATTAAAATAAAGTTAATAAAATAAGATAAAATTCAAAATATTTAGTTAGATTTTTACACAATATTTAAGCATTAAAAATGGTGAAAAACTCAGGTTCGGTAAAAAATTTATGTGTCTATATTTTACCCCTATTTGACTGGAAACACGAAGAGTTTTCAGACAATGAAGTAGATAATGTGACAAATTTTGACCAGACTTGTATTCGAAGAAAAAATTTGTCGACCGAGTTTTGGTTTTGGATATCCTACATAGTACGAGTTATAAGGGAATCATGTCACGTGTAGTTCAAGGAGATGAGATGATGAGTTGGAAGTTAAGAGATGTTCCATCGAGGCTACATGTCGCAACTCTTATACTTAAAAAGATGAAAGCTAATAGTCAAAAGGAAAATAAAAGTATAAGCTCCTATCTATGCAACTTTTATTGAGTCTTCACTTTAGTCTTGACTTTGATATATAACCTTGATTTTGGTAAGTATCTCGATCTTGAATAGATTGATGCTTAACTTGCCACTTAGAGTGAGATTTTGACATACTTCGAAATGACAACTTGAATATGTTCTTGAATGACTGCATGTTTTCTTGATCACAAGCTGAATAGAAATAGATGTCAGGAAGTCAAACTTCTAGATGCATTGAAGAAGCTGACTCTAGCTATCATTGGAGTGATTATTCTGAAAAAAAGTTGAAACTTTGTTGAATTTCAAATTCATGTTTCGCTTGAAGAAACTGATAGACTCAAATTACATCTCACTAAAGAAGAATAAGCGATCACTATCCAGTAAAGAACCCAACGTATAGGTTGAATCGATCCCATGAGGAATATGATTTGGACTTAATTTAACTTACTATTGTACTCGTTTAGTAAAAACATTTCCGAGACAAGTAAATAAAGGGGGGATTTATGAAACAAATAATTTATTGTTGTTAAGTAACAAGTGAGCAGGATCTGAACTTTATTGTTATTAATGAGAGAAAGTAACTAGGGTTTACGTGTTCCCCATAATCTAATAACGTGGCAATCCTAATATTAGTTTCTTAGTCTATTACATGCAAACTGATAAGTTAGGTATCACCATTTCCTTGGTCCAACAACTAGAGAATTTCACCCCGCACCTTGTTCTGGCTATGTGTGTATAATTTACTAACCCTTACCATTACCTTATATTAGACATCACATCAATGTGTGACTTAGTTTTCACCATCGCACCAATTAGACTATTAGATAGCATCACACTAAATCTATGGTGATAATTCTTTCTTGATTAACTAATTCCTAGGTCGGGAAAGTAGCAACAAGGCGAGTTCTAACGTTGGCCACGAATTACTAAGTTACTATTCATACGTTGTTAATTGCTCACAGTTCCCACAACCCTAGTTGTGGATTTAGTTACCCATAGTAGCAAGAACATAATGATTATTTTTAGATAAAGAAATCATGAACTTATATAATGAGAAGAATAAATACATAATCAACTTGAATTTCAAAGTCAAAGTCTTCAAAGCAAAGTTCGAAAATCAAGAATTACTAAAGTTGCAAGTTAATCTCAAAAACCAAAAACTAGAACTGAAATAATAATGTCTAACCCCCCAAAAATGAGTTTTACATGCCATATATATATAAAAAAAACAAGTCCCGAATTAAATTATGAACGCGATTTCGATCTAAGTAACTAACCTTTGGACCGTCGATTGACCT